CGAAAGCAGGATTTTTTATAATTTTTTTCTTATTTTTTTTATATTTATTTCTCCAGTCTTGGTTTTTGGCTCAAACTTGTTCATGTTAGAACAAGGTGAATGTGACTTTTGTTGGAGATAAAAAAAATGAGCTAGGTGTAAATAGTGAGTGAGTGAGTGGGTGAGTCTCTTTCCAATTGAATAATCAACCTATTGCTTTCTATTCGGAATCATACATTGTGATTTAATACGTACGTACGTCTTATACAATCAACCATCGTCATCCCCGCCTACCCACCCACCACTTACTGCAATACATGAATTACAGTTGATAAGCCCACTCGTCTAAATAGCAACTCTATCCTGTCCACGGGACGTAGCACCATGACGCGAGCTGCTCACATGATCGAATCTCCCAGAGTGTCTGTACACACCTCAGCGCTCCTCTTGCGCCTCGTGCCGTTCGCCTTTGCGATGCCGTCCCAGCTGCGTGCGTACTTGGCCACACTATTAGCCATGCTCTGAGTATTCAAGAGATACGCGTCTCTAGCGAGATTATCGACGTTGTCGCCGGCCTGGTGGTAGTTTGGGTCGAGTGCGACGCCGGCCTGGCCGCCGAAGAGCTGGGCTTCTTCGGGCGTCTTCAGTTCCTCGGCGCCGGTGAAGAGACCGCCGGATGGAATGCCGTTCTCGAGGAACGCCGCGTAGTCGGAGCGGCCCGAGAAGAGGGAGGGGACGTATGGACGGCCCTTGGCCGTGTAGAAGTCTTGGAAATCTTTCTCGATGGTGTCGGATCCCGAAGGCCCGCTGAAGTTGAAGGCGCTGCCGTCTCCGTCGTAGATGCCGAGGACGTAGTTGGGCGAGGCGATCATGTCGAAGTTGAGATAGGCCCTGATTCTGTGCACCTCGGAGGAATTGCCGCCCAGGGTACCGTTGAGCGTCCTGATGTAGGCGTATGAGCCGAGCAGGCCGAACTCTTCGGCGCTCCAGAAGCCGAATCGAACGGCGTTGTTGACCTTGAATTTGGTCAGGGCTTCGGCGACCTTGAGCACGCCGATGGTGCCAGAGCCGTCGTCGTTGATGCCGGGGCCCTGGAAGACGGAATCCGTGTGGCCACCGAGCACGAGCACGTTGTTGTGGTCTCCACCCTTGGTCTCGGCGATGACGTTGAGCGTCGTGCGGTTCTCGGAGATGGCGACGACGTCGAGGGTGGCTTCAACTGGACCGGCCTCGAGAGCCGTGAGCAAAGTGGTTCCAACCTCTTGGAGCACACCGACTATGTCCTTGTTAGTCGACTGTATTTATCGATTTTAAATACGATTCTTACCCGTAGGAGCGTATTCGCCAACGCCGCCAAGGGTTCCTGCAAGCGCGCCAGGAACGTTGTTGTAGATGACAGCACCCACAGCACCAGCAGCTTTGGCAAATGTAGCCTTTGCCGCAAACGTGCATGTTCCTCGCGAGATCAGAGCAATTGCTCCTGAGACTTCGGCCGGGTAGTCGGCTTGTGTACAACCAATGTTGGCAACAGGA